TGCGGGAAACTATGGGACGTGGGGGGGAAGACGAAAAACACAGAACATATGGAAGCATATATGGGGAATCCTGTTATACTTGCGGAGGAGTCAGGTACGGCAGCCTCGCGCCGCGTCGGCGCGGCGGGCACGCTCCGTGCGGGCGGTCACGGGTGAGCGCCGCCCGTGGCCCGGAATCGGCCGTCAACGAAGGGCCTTGCGCGATGGGAGGGCCGCTGCCAGGGGAGGCTGAGCGAGGTTGTGAAGCGAAGTGACACGGATACGGGATGGCCCATCCACCCAAGAAGAACGTGCGCGGTGTCGAACTACGACATCCACACACACATCTCTCGATGCAGATGAATCGAGAGAGAGAGAGAGAGATAGAAAAAAACAACAACAACAAACAACACAGAGGTACCCACACAGGTCGCTATACATATATACACAATTACATACAGGTCGTTACATACATATATATATATATATCTGTATATATATACATATATATATATATATTTATTTATATGGTCGCCCTCCCTGTCATCATACCTTTTCGCCTCCTCATCCTCGACTGCTGCTTTTCCTTTATCCCTCTCTCTCTCACTCTCTCTATCTCTCTCTTTCTCTTTCTCTTTCTCTCTCTCTCTTTCTCTTTGTTCTCTCTCTCTCTCTCTGCCTATCTCCAAAACGAAACGCTGTGATTTTCCAGATGTTCCAAATATTCCAGATCTTCCCAGAGACTACCCAGGTGAAGAACCATGTGTTTCCAGATTTTCCAGATATTTCCCCACATGCTTCGTCGTGGGGTTCTGGTTTTCTTCCCTGCCGCGCCGCACCTGCGTCTCACACACCTCCCGCCTCCTCACCCACACACTCGCACACAGCCGCACGCATGCACACATTCGCACATACAAGACGCATGTTCACTGCATCATACACCCAAGACGTCTGCACGACATACTGGGCAACACGTGAGATATGTCCCGATATGGCCGCACACGCATCATACACATACACACGGCAAGCCATGCGGCAGGCGAGCAGGCGTGGCATTTCCTCGACACCATAGGGGGTGCGCAGAGGGTGGTCCCTCAGCGGGGCCTCTATCCGTGACACGCTCGCAGGGCGTGGCAGGCGCGGCACTTTCTCGACACCGCTGGGGGGGCGCAAAGGGTGGTCCCTCAGCGGGGCCTCTATCCGTGACACGCTCGCAGGGCGTGGCAGGCGTGGCACTTCCTCGACACCATAGGGGGTGCGCAGGGGGTGGTCTCTCACCGCGGCCGCTATGCACGACAGTCGTCCAGGCACAGCAGGCGTGGCACTTTCTCGACACCACAGGGGGTGCGCATGGGGGTGGCCCCTGAGCGCGGCCGCTATCCGTGACACGCTCGCAGGGCGTGGCAGGCGCGGCACTTTCTCGACACCACTGGGGGGCGCAGAGGGTGGTCCCTCAGCGGGGCCTCTATCCGTGACACGCTCGCAGGGCGTGGCAGGCGCGGCACATTCTCGACATCACATGGGGGTGCGCAGAGGGTGGTCCCTCAGTGCGGCCTCTATCCGTGACACGCTCGCAGAGCGTGGCAGGCGCGGCACTTTCTCGACACCACTGGGGGGGCGCAGAGGGTGGTCCCTCAGCGGGGCCTCTATCCGTGACACGCTCGCAGGGCGTGGCAGGCGCGGCACATTCTCGACACCACATGGGGGTGCGCAGAGGGTGGTCCCTCAGTGCGGCCTCTATCCGTGACACGCTCGCAGATCGTGTCAGGAGTGGCACTTTCTCGACACCACATGGGGGTGCGCAGAGGGTGGTCTCTCAGCGCGGCCTCTATCCGTGACACGCTCGCAGGGCGTGGCAGGCGTGGCACTTTCTCGACGCCACAGGGGGTGCGCAGAGGGTGGTGTCCCTCAGCGCGGCCTCTATCCGTGACACGCTCGCAGATCGTGGCAGGAGTGGCACTTTCTCGACACCACAGGGGGTGCGCAGAGGGTGGTGGTCCCTCAGCGCGGCCTCTATCCGTGACACGCTCGCAGATCGTGGCAGGAGTGGCACTTGCTCGACACCACAGGGGGTGCGCAGAGGGTGGTCCCTCAGCGCGGCCTCTATCCGTGACACGCTCGCAGATCTTGGCAGGAGTGGCACTTTCTCGACACCACAGGGGGTGCGCAGAGGGTGGTCCCTCAGCGCGGCCTCTATCCGTGACACGCTCGCAGATCGTGTCAGGAGTGGCACTTTCTCGGCACCACAGGAGGTGCGCAGAGGGTGGTCCCTCAGCGCGGCCGCTATGCACGACGGTCGTCCAGGGAATAGCAGGCGTGGCACTTTCTCGACGTTATAGAGGGTGCGCAGGGGGTGGTCCCTCACCGCGGCTGCTATGCACGACGGTCGTCCAGGGCGTGGCAGGCGTGGCACTTTCTCGACACCATAGAGGCTGCGCAGGGGGTGGTCCCTCACCGCGGCCGCTACGCACGACGGTCGTCCAGGGCATAGCAGGCGTGGCACTTTCTCGACACCATCGAGGGTGCGCAGGGGGTGGTCCCTCACCGCGGCCGCTGGCTGGCTCGAATCTGTCCTCGACGGAGGATAGCAGGCTAGGAAGAGGGAGGAGGTTCAAGCAATATGGCGTTGGATGACACATAGGGGAACATTCGCGACGAGGGCTGAGAACGCAGAATTGCGCATAGATTATAAACTTAAGCAAACACACAAGATTTAAGTTAAGTATGTGGGGTTCCTCGGTAGCGTAATCCAGATCTTCTCAAATATTACCTAAGTGAAAAACCGTATGTTTTCCAGATGTTCCAGATATTCCAGATCTTCCCAGAGACTACCCAGGTGAAACCACATGTGTGTTTCCAGAATTCCCAGATATTCCAGATCTTCCCAGAGACTACCCGGGTAAAGCAATCCGTAAGGGCTTCGCCCCCTGCCGCCAGCCCCCATGTCTCGCAGAATAGGCCATGGAAGAGCGAAGTCATGAGGCTTTGGCTTCGCCGTCAAGCAGTGTCGGGACTTGTTTGTCTTTCGACCCTGACCCTACGGATCTCTGCGTGAGGGGTGCCACCGAATTTCAGACATGTGGCAAATCCTGTGTGTTTTTCGACCCTGACCCTACGGATCTGCGTGATTGGTGCCGCCGAATTTCAAACATGTGGCTAATCCCATGTGTTTTTCGACCCTGACCCTACCGATCTGCGTGAGTGGTGCCGCCGAATTTCAAACATGTGGCTAATCCCATGCGTTTTTCGACCCTGACCCTACCGATCTGCGTGAGTGGTGCCGCCGAATTTCAAACATGTAGCAAATCCCCTGTGTTTTTGGACCCTGACCCCGCCGATCTGCGTGAGGGGTGCCATTGGATTTTAGAAATGTGGCAAATCCCATTTGTTTTTGCAACCTGACCCCGCCGATCTGCGTGAGGGGTGCCACCGAATTTTAGAAATGTGGCAAATCCTGTGCGTTTTTGGACATTGACCCCGCCGATCTGCATGAGGGGTGCCACCGAACTTTAGAAATCTGGTACATTTGTTTATGTTTTTTGACCCTGACCCCGCCGATCTGCGTGAGGGGTGCCAGGAAATTGCAAAAATGTTGCAAATCCCATTTGTTTTTGCACCCTGACCCCGCCGATCTGCGCGAGGGGTGGTAGGAAATTGCAGCAATGTGGCAAATCCCCTGTGTTTTTGGACCCTGACCCCGCCGATCTGCGTGAGGGGTGTCAATTTTGACCCACCCCAGCAATTCAGACAATACGATTTGGGCGTGGTAGAAGTGTTCCTTTTTGGTCTCCCCCCTCGCGCGGTCCATCAACAAGGAACAGTAAGCAGCAAGAAGTCATCAAGGAACAGTAAGCAGCAAGAACCAGAACTCTAACAGTGGAAAGTGGAAGCTGCAACAGGTATAGGAAACTGCGAACCTCCGGCCTACAGCCTGGTGGCCCCACAATGGGGCCTGCGGATATGTGTTTCCAGATTTCCCAGATATTCCAGACTTTTTCCAGGGAGTGCGCTGCAAGCTCAGAGTAGTCTCTGGGAATATTTGGAATATGTGGGAAATCTGGAAAACACATTGTTGTGCACCTGGGTAGTCCCTGTGAAGACCTAGAATATTTGGCAAATCGGGAAACACCTGATTTTTCATGTGGGTAGTCTCTGGGAAGATCTGGAATATTTGGGAAATCTGGAAACATGAAGTTTGTCACTTGGGTCGTCTCTGAGAAGACTTGGAATATCTGGAACATCTGGAAAGCACATGGTCTTTCACCTGGGTAGTCTCTGGGGAGATTTGGAACATCCGGAACATCTGGAAACACACATGGTTTTTCATCTGGGTGGTCTCTGGGAGTATCTGGAATGTCTGGAACATCTGGAAACATACATTGTTTTTCACCTGGGTAGTCCCTGGAAATATTTGGAATAGCTGGGAAATCTGGAAGCACGCAACGTTTTTTTCAATACCACCCTGAGAGCAGTACGACCGAGAGCAGCACCATGAGTATGACGAGTGCGACCAGTATCAACGGCACCACTACGCCCAGCATGTCGGAGGGCAGTACGATAGAGAGCAGCACCACGAGTATGACGAACGCGACCGGTGCCAGCGGCACCACTACGCCCAGCGCGTCTGTAAGCACTACGACCGAGAGCAGCACCACGAGTATGACGAGTGCGACTGGTATCAGCGGCACCATTATGCCCAGCACGTCGGCGCGCAATACAATCGAGAGCAGCACCACGAGTATGACGAGTGCGACCTGTACCAGCGGCACCACTTCGCCCAGCACATCGGCGAGCAGTCCAATCGAGAGCGGCACCACGAGTATGACAGGTGCGACTGGTACCAGCGGCACCACTACGCCCAGCACGTCGGTGAGCAGTACGAGCGAGAGCAGCAACGCGAGTATGACGAGTGCGACCAGTACCAGCGGCACCACTACGCCCAGCACGGCGGCGAGCAGTACAACCGAGAGCAGTACCACGAGTATGACGAGTACGACCGGTACCAGCGCCACCTTTACGCCCAGCACGTCGGCGAGCAGTACGACTGAGAGCAGCACCACGGGTATGACGAGTAAGACCAGTACCAGCGGCGCCACTACGCCCAGCACGTCGGCGTGCATTACGACCGAGAGCAGCACCACAAGTGTGACGAGTAAGACCTGTACCAGCGGCACCACTACGCCAAGCACGTCGGCAAGCAGTACGACCGAGAGCAGCACCACGAGTATGGCTAGTGCGACAGGCACCAGCAGCATCATTACGCCAAGCACGTTGGAGAGTACTACGACTGAAAGCAGCACCACGAGTAAGACGGGTACGACCAGTACCAGCGGCACCCTTACGCCCAGCACGTCGGCGAACAGTACGATCGAGAGCAGCACCACGAGAATCACGAGCACGAAAGCCACCAGCAGCACCCCTGCGCCCAGCACATCGGAGAGTAATACAAGCGAGAGCAGCACCACGAGGGTGGCGACCACGACCGAGACCAGCAGCACCACTACGCCCAGCACGTCGGCGAGCAGTACGACCGAAAGCAGCGTCGCGAGGATGATCAACACGATAGGTACCAGAAGCATCGCTACGCCCAGCGCGTTGGCGAGCAGCATGAGCGAGAGCAGCACGAGTGTGGCGAGCACGACCCGTACCACCAGCACCACCACGCACAGCACGTCGGCGAACAGTACGACCGAAAGAAGAACCACGAGTGTGACGAGCACGACCCGTACCAGCAGCGCCACTATGCCCAGCACGTCGGCAAGCAGTACGGCCGAGAGCAACACCACGAGGGTGACGAACACGACCGAGACCACCAGCACCACTAAGCCCAGCGCGCCGGCGAGCAGTACGACCGAGAGCAGCACCACGAGTGTGACGAGCACGAACGGTACCAGCAGCACCACTACGCCCAGCATGTCGGTAAGCAGTACGACCGAAAGCAGCACCACGAGGGTGACGAGCGCGACCGAGACCAGCAACACTACACACGGCACGTCGGCGAGCAGTACGACCGGAAGCAGCCCCACGAGTGCGGCGAACGCAACCGATACCAGCAGCACCACCACCACTCCCAGCGCGTTGGCGAGCAGCACGAACGAGAGCAGCACCACGAGTGTGCCGAGCACGACCGAAACCAGCAGTACCACTAAGTCAAGCACGTCGGCGAGTATTCTAATCGAAAGCAGCAGCACCACGAGTGGGGCGAGCACGACCGAGACCAGCAGCACCACTATACGCCCAGCACGTTGGCGTGCAGTACGACCGAGATCAGCACCGCGAGTATGATCAGCACGACCGAGACCAGCAGCATCACTACGCCCAGCAAGTCGGCAAGCAGTACGACCGAGAGTAGCACCACAAGTGTGACGAACACGACCGCGACCCGCAGCACCTCTACGCCCAGCGCGCCGGCGAGCAGTACGACCGAAAGCAGCACCACGGTTATGACGAGTGCGACCGGCACCAGCGGCACCACTGCGTCCAGCACGTCGGAAAGTAGGACGACCGAGAACAGCACCACGAGTATGGCTAGTGCGACAGGCACCAGCGGCACCACTACGCCCAGCACGTGGGAGGGCTGTACCACAGAGAGCAGCACCACGAGTATGACGAGTACGACCGGTACCAGCGGCACCACTATGCCCAGCGTGTCGGATTGCAGTACGACCGAGAGCAGCACTACGAGTATGTCGAGTCTCACCGGTACCAGCGGCACCACTACGCCCAGCACGTCGGCGAGCAGTACGACCGAGAGCAGCACCATGAGTATGACGAGTGCGACCAGTATCAACGGCACCACTACGCCCAGCATGTCGGAGGGCAGTACCACAGAGTGCAGCACCACGAGTATGACGAGTGCGCCCGTTGCCAGCGGCAACGCTACGCCCAGCGCGTCGGTGAGCACTACGACCGAGAGCAGCACCACGAGTATGACGAGTGCGACTGGTACCAGCGGCACCACTATGCCCAGCACGTCGGCGCGCAGTACAATTGAGAGAAGCACCACGAGTATGACGAGTACGTCCGGTACCAGCGGCACCACTACGCCCAGCATGTCGGAGGGCAGTACCACAGAGTGCAGCACCACGAGTATGACGAGTGCGCCCGTTGCCAGCGGCAACGCTACGCCCAGCGCGTCGGTGAGCACTACGACCGAGAGCAGCACCACGAGTATGACGAGTGCGACTGGTACCAGCGGCACCACTATGCCCAGCACGTCGGCGCGCAGTACAATTGAGAGAAGCACCACGAGTATGACGAGTACGTCCGGTACCAGCGGCACCGCCACGCACAGCACGTCGGCGAGCAGTCCGGCCGAGAGCAGCACCACGAGTATGACAGGTGCGACCGGTACCAGCGGCACCACTACGCCCAGCGCGTCGGTGAGCAGTACGAGCGAGTGCAGCAACGCGAGTATGACGAGTGCGACCTGTACCAGTGGCACCACTACGCCCAGCACGGCGGCGAGCAGTACAACCGAGAGCAGCACCACGAGTATGACGAGTACGACCAGTACCTGCGTCACCACTACGCCCAGCACGTCGGCGAGCAGTACGACTGAGAGCAGCACCGCGTGTATGACGAGTAAGACCAGTACCAGCGGCACCACTACGCCCAGCACGTCGGCGAGCAGTACGAGCGAGAGCAGCAACGCGAGGATGACGAGTGCGACCAGTACCAGTGGCCCCACTACGCCCAGCACGGCGGCGAGCAGTACAACCGAGAGCAGCACCACGAGTATGACGAGTACCACCAGTACCAGCGTCACCACTACGCCCAGCACGTCGGCGAGCAGTACGACTGAGAGCAGCACCACGGGTATGACGAGTAAGGCCAGTACCAGCGGCACCACTACGCCCAGCGCTTTGGCGAGCAGTACGACCGAGAGCAGCACCACAAGTGTGACGAGTAAGACCTGCACCAGCGGCACCACTACGCCAAGCACGTCGGCAAGCAGTACGACCGAGAGCAGCACCACGAGTATGGCTAGTGCGACAGGCACCAGCAGCATCATTACGCCAAGCACGTTGGACAGTACTACGACTGAAAGCAGCACCACGAGTAAGACGGGTACGACCAGTACCAGCGGCACTCTTACGCCCATCACGTCGGCGAACAGTACGATCGAGAGCAGGACCACGAGAATCACGAGCACGAACGCCACCAGCAGCAACCCTGCGCCCAGCACATCGGAGAGTAATACAAGCGAAAGCAGCACCACGAGTCTGACGAGTACGACGGATACCAGCAGCACTAATACGCCCAGCACGACGGATAACAGTTCGACCGAGAGCACCACCACGAGTATGACGAGTACGACCGGTACCAGCGGCAACACTACGCCCAGCACGTCGGTGAGTACTACGACTGAAAGCAGCACCGCGAGCATGACGAGTGTGATCGCTACCAGCAGCACCACTCCGCCCAGCACGTCGGCAAGCAGTATGACCGAGAGCAGCGCCACGAGGGTGACGACCACGACCGAGACCGAGACCAGCAGCACCACTACGCCCAGCACGTCGGCGAGCAGTACGACCGAAAGCAGCGTCGCGAGTATGATCAACACGATAGGTACCAGTAGCAACGCTACGCCTAGCGCGTTGGCGAGCAGCATGAGCGAGAGCAGCACGAGTGTGACGAGCACGACCCGTACCACCAGCACCACCACGCACAGCACGTCGGCGAACAGTCTGACCGAAAGCAGCATCACGAGTGTGACGAGCACGGCCCGTACCAGCAGCGCCACTACGCCCAGCGCGTCGGTGAGCAGTACGACCGAGAGCAGCACCACGAGGGTGACGAGCACGACCGAGACCGCCAGCACCACTACGCCCAGCGCGTCGGCGAGCAGTACGACCGAAAGCCGCACCCCGAGGGTGACGAGCACGACCGGTACCAGCAGCACAACTACGCCCAGCACGTCGGCAAGCGGTACGACCGACAGCAGCACCATGGGTGTGACGAGCGCGACCGGTACCAGCAGCACCACTACGCACAGCACGTCGGCGACCAGTGCGACCGGAAGCGGTACCACGAGTGGGACGAGCACAACCGGCACCAGCAATACCACTACGCCCAGCACGTCGGCGAGCAGTACGACCGAGAGCAGCAAAGCGAGTGCGACGAGCACAACCGAGACCAGCAGCATCACTACGCCCAGCACGTCGGCAAGCAGTACGACCGAGAGTAGCACCACAAGTGTGACAAGCACGACCGAGACCAGCAGCATCACTGCGCCCAGTACGTCGGCGAGCAGAACCACCGACAGCAGCATCACGTTCGGGACGAGCACGTCCGATACCAGCAGCACCGCCACGCCCAGCGCGTCGGCGAGCAGTACGACCGAGAGCAGCACCACGACTGTGACAAGCACGACCCCTACCAGCAGCACCACTACGCAAAGCACGTCCTCGAGCAATACGACCGAGTGCAGCACCACGAGTGTGTCGAGCGCGACCGAGACCAGCAGCGCCACTACGCCTAGCACGTCGGCGAGCAGTACGACCGAGAGCATCTCCACGAGTGTGACGAGCACAACCGAGACCAGCAGCATCACTGCGTCCAGCCTGTCGGCGAGCAGAACCACTGACAACAGCATCACTTTCGGGACGAGCACAACCGATACCAACAGCACCGCCCTGCCCAGCGCGTCGGCGAGCAGTACGATCTAAAGCAGCACCACGAGTGTGACGAGCACGACCGAGAACAGCAGCACCACTACGCCCAGCACGTCGGCGAGCAGTGCGACCGAAAGCAGCACCACGGGGGTGACGAGCACAACCGAGACCAGCAGCACCACTACGCCTAGCACGTCGGCGAGCAGTACGACCGAGAGCAGCGCCACGAGGGTGACGAGCACGACCGAGACCAGCAGGAACATTACGCCTAGCACGTCGGCGAGCAGTACGACCGAGAGCATCTCCACGAGTGTGGCGAGCACGACCGATACCAGCAGCATCGCTACGCCCAGCACGTCGGCGAGCAGAGCCACCGCCAGCAGCATCACGGTCGGGACGAGCACAACTGGTACCACGCCAAGCGCGTCGGCGGCCAGTACGACCGAAAGCAGCACCACGAGTGTGACGAGCACGACCGCTACCAGTAGCGCCACGACGCCTGGCACGTCTGCGAGCAGTACGACCGAGAGCAGCACCGCGAGGATGATGAGCACGTCTGGTACCAGCACCAATACGCCCAGCACGTCGGCGAGCGGTACGCCCGAGAGCAACGCCACGGGGGGGACGAGCACGACCGAGACCAGCAGCACCACTACGCCCAGCACGTCGGCGAGCAGTACAACCGAAAGCAGCACCACGAGGGTGACGAGCACGACCGATACCAGCAGCGCCACTACGTCCAGCGGGTCGGTCAGCAGTACGACCGAGAGCACCACCACGAGTATGACGAGTACGACCGGTACCAGCGGCACCGCTACGCCCAGCACGTCGGCGAGCAGTACGACTGAGTGCAAAACCACGAGTATGACGATCACGACCGAGACCAGCAGCACCACTACGCCCAGCACGTCGGCGAGCAGTACGACCGAGAGCAGCACCACGACTGTGACGAGCACGACCGGGGTCAGCAGCAACGTCACACCCAGCGCGTCGGCGAATAGTACGGCCTCGAGCAGCACCACGAGTGTGACGAGCACGACCCGTACCAGCAGCACCACTACGCCCAGCGTGTCGGCGAGCAGTACGACCGTGAGCAGCACCACGAGTGTGCCGAGCACGACCGAGACCAGCAGCAACACTACGCCTAGCACGTCGGCGAGCAGTACGACCGAGAGCAGCACCACGAGAGTGACGAACACGACCGAGACCAGCAGCACAGCCACGCCCAGCGCGTTGGCGAGCAGTACGACTGAGAACAGCACCACGAGTGTGACGAGCACGACTAGTACCAGCAGCACCACTACGACCAGCACGTCGGCGAATAGTACAACCGAAAGTAGCACCATGAGTGGGACGAGCACTACTAGCACCAGCAGCACCACTACGCCCAGCAGGTCGGAGAGCGGTACGACCGAAAGCAGCACCACGAGTGGGACGAGCACATCTGGCACCAGAAATACCACTACGCCCAGCGCGTCGGCGAGCAGTACGCCCGAGGGCAGCACCACGAGTGTGGAGAGCACGACCGGTACCAGCAGCACCGCCACGCCCAGCGCGTCGTCGAGCACTATGACCGAGAGCAGCACCATGAGGGTGACGAGACCACCACAACCACGACCACCCCGACATCGACGACGACTAACGCAACGCCCACGACCAACACGACCACGACCACCGCTAAGACCACGACGACCACCACCACGACCACGACACCTGGACCACCACGACCAGCACCGAGATTACGCAACGCACGACCATTGCCGACGCCACGACCTCGACCTCGACAACGACGATTCGATCACGACAATGACGACCACCACCACGGTCACCACTGACCGACACCAGCGTGACATTCTGACATCCAGGAGTGGCGCGGGACGACGTGCCCAGGTGGGAGCAGTACAAGTGAGGCGAGCAGGGTTGGTGTGCTCCCCACCCCTCTTTTCCCCTCCCCTCCTCCCTCCGCCGCCTCTTCAATTGGCGCATGGGGCGCCTCGTGCAACTTGGGGCTGCTGGTGGGCTGTGGGCCGCCCGGTCCTGCGAGTCGCTTCCGTAATTAGGAGGCCGCTCCTGGCCCGCGCAGTCGCCGTCACCGGCGTGTCTCCATGCGGCCTCGCCGCACCCGCGTAGCTTAGCTTTGCTTTTACATCTTATCTGGTGTGCGATCCTCGCCCAGTTTCCTCGCGTCTTGTTTCGGCGCCCCACTCATACAGGGATGCCCGTGCCTTCGTTGTGTGCTGTGCTGCCCCCGCTTGCCGGCTGTTGTGTGCGACCTGCTTATATTAATGGTCGGTGGGACCATGTGGGATGCTCACACACAGAGCGCTTTCGGCAACTCTCCGTGGCCTCGTCTTTTCCTCTTCCTCTCTCTCTTCCTCTGCTGTTCTTTTCTCCTTCCTGCTTGTTGCTCTTTAGTTGTGCTGGTTTTGTTGTTGTGGCCGTCTGTGCCATAGGGGTGTTCACACAACTTTGTAGTTCGCTCGCTCTTTGCAGGCTCGGGCCCATAGGTTGGCACGCCTCCGACGGTTTGGCCATTGTGCACTTCCTTGCCGCCCGGCGAATCTGCTTGGGCATTTAATGTTTGCCGGTGCTTCTCCGGTGGAGGAGCCATGGGCAACGGCTTCCAGCAGTTGGGCACTGATGGACTGTAGTGTTGGAGGGGCTTGGTGGCGTTGTGGTTGGGGGAAAAAAAAGAACAGTTTTTTTCAATACCACCCTCCCCACCGATCCTTTTTTTGTTTCTCTCTCTCTCTCTCTCTGTTCTCTCTCTCCCTCTCTCTCCCGCTCTCTGTATCTCTCTCGCTCTCTCTCTCTCTCTCTCTCTCCTCCTCTCGCTCAGTGGTGTGGATTCCTGCTGTGGGGCTTTCCATTAGAATGTCGCAAAGGATTCCTGCTGTGTGGCTTTCCACTCGAATCCCTTTGTGCCGTTTTCCACAGCGTTTCTGTTGTGATGCCTTCCAATCGAATTCTTTTTGGGGTGTTTTGCGAAGGATTCCGATTGTGAGGATTTCCATCGAATCCCTCTGTGGTGCTGTCCAACGGATTCCGATTGTGAGGTTTTCCACCAAAATCCCCTTGTGGCGCTTTCCAAACGAATCCTGTTGAGAGGCTTTACGCTGGAATCCCTCTGTGGTGCTTTCCAAAGGGCTCCGCTTGGGAGGTTTTCCAACGGAACTATTTTGTGCTGCTTCCCGAAAGGATTCCGATTGTGAGGCTTTCCAATCGAATCCTTATGTGGTGTTTTCCAAAGGATTCCGATTGTGAGGTTTTCCAATCGAATCCCTTTGGGGTGCTTTTCAAAAGGAATCCGATTGAGAGGCTTTCCACTCGAATTCCTCTGCGGTGCTTTCCAAAGGATTCCGATTGTGCGGCTTTCCAATCGAATCCCTCTGTGGTGCTTTCCAAAGGAATCCTGTTGAGAGGCTTTCCAATGCAACTCCTTTGTGGTGTTTTTCAAGGGGTTCCTGTTGTGAGGCTTTCACATGGAATCCCTTTGTTGCGCTTTCCAACGGAGTCCGAGTGTGACGCTTTCCAATGGAAGCCCGTTGTGAAGCTTTCCGAAGGATTCCCTTTGTGACGCTTTTCAATCATAGCCATATCATTTAAAACATTTTCCGACGGGTTCCTGTTGTGAGGTTTTCCAATCGATTCCCGCTGTGGTGCTTTCCGAAGGTCCCTGTTTCGAGGCTTTCCAATGGGATCTCTTTGGGTTCCTGTGCAAATTGATCCTGTGAAGAAGCTTTCTTCTAGAATCCCCACCTGGTGCTGTCCAACAGATTTCGGTTGTGAGGTTTTCCAATCGAATCTTTTTGTGGTGATTTCCAAAGGAGTCCGTTTGTGAGGCTTTCCAGTAGAATCTGCAATCGAATCCCCTTGTGGTACTTTCCAAAAAATTCGTGTTGAGAGGTTTTCCACTAACTAGAATCCCTTTGTGGTGCTTTCCAGATTGTTCCGCTTGTGAGGCTTTCCAATCGAATCCCTTTGTGGTGCTCACCAAAGGAATATTGGTGAGAGGGTTTCCAATGGAACATCCTCGTTTTTTGTCCATAACAAAAACAGGAGAAAGAGAGAGAGAGATAGAAAAGCAACGAGGATACATATATGAAGGCAAGAAATATATGATCATGTAGGGGGGTAGGAGGATGAGGAGGATAATGAGAGGAATCAGGAGGACGGGGAGGAGACGGGGAATGATGAGGCGAATGGAGAGAATGAGGAAAAGAGGACACGATGAATATTGTTGGGGATAATGAGGATGAGGCAAATGAGGAGGAGAAAGATAATGAAGAATAGTGTGGAAAATGGGGAGGAGGATGAGAAGATGAGAACGAGGGGGACGGGGAGAGGATGAGGGACCGAATGAAGAGGAAGAGGGTACGAGAGGAGGCGCAAGGTATGATGACCAGTAGGGGGTGCAAACATATGTATATATATACACATATGTATGTATGTATGCATGTATGTATGTATGTATATATATATATATATGTATATAGATGTGTATCGCACGGTTTGAGAGTGAGTCGCCTTCCATATGTGTAATTTGGGGGGGGGGTCGCGGATGAGGGCCATTCGCAAGGTTGAAGTTTCGCCATCTCGACTTTGAGAAGGACGCGCCATACTTCCGCCAGGCGTCTGTTGGGAATGAAGAGTTTCATGGTGATGTATTGCGAGGAAGTCTCGGGCGTCTATCATACTGTAAGTACAAGCTGACCGGCTCCCGCCCGCCCGTGTACATTGCTTCATGAGTTTCGAACTTCAACATCATGAACTGCGCAGTGGCCTTAGGCGAGAATCAACTTTCGAACACGACCCGACCTCCATCCGTCTAGCGGTTGGGAACTTCAAGCTGCGGCAGAAATATAGTTTGGGAGGCAGCTAGAATTCGGAAACCATCAATTCTACACCGTCTCAAGCGAAACGCCCGGAAAACAGTGCTCCTCCTCCTCCCCCTCCTCTTCCTCCTCCTCCTCCTCCTCGTCCTCCTCCTCCTCCCGGCCTCTGGGAGCGGATGGCGACGCTGCCACTGGGCCAGGCGGCGTGCGGCGCGGCGGCGGCGGCGTTCAGGGGCCACGGCGGCACCAAGGCTTTGTCCGTTGCTGTGGCGGCCGCGGCGCGCGGAGCTGCCAAGGGCGCCGCTGCGGGCGCAGCTGGAGCAGGTGCTGACGCTTCGGCCTGCGGCGGGGGTCCCAAGAGCGAGATCGCGTTGTTCGCCGAGGTCCTCGACGCGGTCGGCGAGACGTCGGACCTACCTGGAGTGGCCAATCCCGGTCCAGGACTCCACGGGCCTCCTGCGGGACAGCGGGGCGCGGTCGTTGGCTTCCCGCCTTGGGAGGCTCAGCAAGGCGCGCAACGCCAGGGGCCATCCTGACGTTGGCCTGGCGAGGAAAGTACGCGCTCACCTCAGTTGCGGCGGGGCCCCCGTCGCCAAGGCGGCCGACCGCGTGCAGGAGCATGTGAACGACGGCTTCTCCATCGGCGCGGGCTCCGCGGCGGCGGTGGAGCAGCTCGGCATCGGCTCGGGGACGGAGTTGGCGGGCTCGCTGTCCGTGGAGATGGGCGCGCAGACGGAGGACCAGATCGACCAGGACGACAAGCTCGGGGACTCGCGGGAGGTGTGCGAGGTGCCGCCCGAGGCCCCCGAGGAATTGGAGGTGAGCGCGGGGGAGTTCTTGGAGATGGTGTTCGCGCTGGGTCCGCAGCTGACGACCAGCAGGAGGTGGGAGGAGGACGCCGACTCTGAGAGCGTGCTGGTCCCGTGGCCGATTGCGCCAGTCCCAACTTTCCCTCTGCTGGAGGACGGCGCGAACTTGAAGCGGTCCGCGGTCAGCTCGGACGCGGGGCCCCGCGGCGCCGACGACGTCGACAGTCTGAACGTGGAGTTCGTACGCTCGACTGGCGACGCGGCCACGGTCGTGGAGGAGCAAGGAAATGCATCACCCGTTGAGGTGCGCTCGAAGGTGCGCTCGAGGGCGGCGACGCTAGCCAAAGGCGACAAGGTGGTGGTCATTGTGCCTTTTCGCGCCCCGCGCCGGCCTCGCCCCTCCCCCCTCGGGCTCGCCGGCGTCTAGTGCAGTGTGTCCGAGGCTCCGTGGCGAGCATCGTGCTGGACGACCCCATGAGGAACCGCGGGTGCGGAGCCGTGAACGTGCCGAGGCAGAGCTGGCCGTGCCTCGGCAGGGCCGAGGGTGCGGAGGCTGCGCCGTCGGCGCCGAGTCGCAGGCCCAGGCGCAAGGTGGCCCCAGGCCGAGCGGGGTCGCGCGTCGGGCAGCCTTGTCTTCGCGCTGGGCGTGGCTCGAAATCCTCTGGGGGCGGCCTCGGGGGGCCGGCGGTCTCGCCCGTCCGTCCCCGCGGGGGTGGCTTCGGTCCGCCTGGACTGCCCATCGGGTTAATCCAGGCTTGGACCGATGCCCGTCGGGGCTGCTTCGGGGTCCCCTCGTCGCCAGGCGCGTGGCTCTGCCGCGAGCGGGCGGCGGCGACTCTTGACTCGACATCTGGGGCCCTGGCGGTCCTCTGCTTGCAGACGGCCGCCAAGGCTTCTTTGATGATTGCCCATCCCTCCTCCTCCTTCCCCTCCTCCTCCTCCTCCTCCTCCTCCTCCTCCTCCTCCTCCTCCTCCTCCTCCGTGGTTCCTCCCTCGCCCTCCTCCTTCGCTTCCTTCCTGCGTCTTGTGGCTCCTGGCAGCGGTGAGGGAGTGCCGTTGCAGTGCCCCCATTGGGCGCTCCCTCACCTTTCTGCGGTGGGGTGACGACGCGCCTCGGGTCGGCCTTTCTAGTTTGCGGCTTCGGGGCCTCGGGCAGCGTGAGGGTTGCCCCGCTCTGGCTGGGGCGACATGCGCCCCCTTTCTCCTTCCTCGGGA